TACCACATTTTCTTGATCCATTCATCTACTGAGGGGCATCTGGGTTGGTTCCATATCCTAGCTATGGTAAATAATGCTGCAATAAACATAATCATGCTGGTAGCTTTAGTGTGGTCTTGTTTGTGAACATTTGGGTAAATGCCCAAAAGTGGGATTGCTGGGTCATAGGGGAGCTCTATGTGGAGTCTTTTGAGGAACCTACATACTGCTTTACAAAGTGGTTGAACAAGTTTACATTCCCACCAACAATGCAGTAAGGTTCCCTTCTGTCCACATCCCTTCCAGCATCTGTTATTAGAGTTCTTGATTATAACCATTCTAACTGGAGTGAGGTGGTATCTCAATGTTGTAGTACTTAATGTTTCTTTTATGGCTAGGGAGGTTGAGCATTTCTTCACGTGTCTATTGGCCATCCTTCTTTCCTCTTCAGAGAAGTTTCTCTTTAAGTCTTTCGCCCACTTGTTTATTGGGCAGTTGTTTCTTTGAAGATTTGTTTTTGGGGGATTTAAGTTTTTGAGATCCAGGTATATTCTAGATATGAGACCCTTGTCTGTTGTATGGCTAGTGAAGATCTTCTCTCAATCAATGGGCTTTCTATTGATCTTGCTAGCTATGTCCTTTGCCATACAGAAGCTCTGCAATTTCATGCCACAGCTAAACCAACATGAGTTAAACCATCTTAACAGGCCCATCTTAAGCATTGAAATAGAAACAGCAATAAGAGACCTCCCATCTAAGAAAAGTTCAGGACCAGATGGTTTTACAGCGGAATTCTACAAGGCCTTCAAAGCAGAGCTCACACCAATACTTCTCCAATTCTTCAATGAAATAAGAGAAAGTTCATACTGAACTCATTCTATAAGCCATCATAACCCTCATCCCAAAACCAGGCAAGGACTCATCAAAGAAAGAGAACTATAGTCCCATTTCTTTGATGAACATTGATGCAAAACTTCTCAACAAAATTTTGGCCAATCGACTTCAACAATTCATCCAAAACATCATACACCACGATCAAACAGGATTCATTTCAGGGATGCAAAGCTGGTTCAATATATGCAAATCAATTAATATAATTCATCACATCAACAGGAGCAAGGATAAGAAACACATGGTTATCTCAATAGATGCAGAAAAAGCATTTGACAAGATCCAACACCTCTTTATGATGAAAGTTCTGGAAAAATTAGGAACATTCTTCAATACAATAAAAGCTGTATATGACAAACCTACAGCCAGCATTATACTTAATGGTGAAAAACTAAA